TATTATTATTATTATTATTATTATTATTATTATTATTATTATTATTATTATTATTATTATTATTATTATTATTATTATTATTATTATTATTATTATTATTATTATTATTATTATTATTATTATTATTATTATTATTATTATTATTATTAATATTATTATTATTATTATTATTATTATTATTATTATTATTATTATTATTATTATTATTATTATTATTATTATTATTATTATTATTATTATTATTATTATTATTATTATTATTATTATTATTATTATTATTAATATTATTATTATTATTATTATTATTATTATTATTATTATTATTATTATTATTATTAATTATTATTATTATTATTATTATTATTATTATTATTATTATTATTAAAATTTTAAATAACTTAAAATTCTGAGGTTAAATAAAATAAAAATAAGTTATTTTTGTTTAGAATCGATAAAAAATAGCAATTTTATTTGTCCTTAAAAAATAATTAAACAAACTATATGAGAATAATTTAATTACGAGTATTAAAACTAAAAATTTAAAATCGGCGGTGGAGCTGAAGACAGAGCGTTATAAATTAGTAAAATTTATAAATTATTATTTTGTCTTAATAACCTAATAATATTTTTTTAAATTTGTAGATTTTCGTTAGAGGGCCATAGAAAAAATATTCTGTACAACTCGAGATGATTTTCCATATCAACTCTTGTTGCACAAACTATTTCATGACTTCGAAAATGAGAAATTTTTTTGATGAGAAGTTTTCAGTTTTTTTCACCTGATATATTATATATGATATATTATCCATACTCATAGATTAGCCACAATTTTTTTTACTTAACTTCAGTATACCTCTTACTACTAGAACTAATACAAATTACATTAGTACACATTAATGGGGACGAAACTTTGTCAAACGTTAAAAGAGACAAATTGTGGAGAACATTACATTAATTAGACTTCGTTCGTTTGGGAGAATAACGATAGAAAATCTACGCTCGTAGAGAAAGATAAAATTATTTGTTGAAGAAGGCAATATTTAAGGGACATTAGAAAATTAGGAAGACAAAAATATTTTTATTTGGATGAAACATAGATAAATAAAAGACAATTTGCAAAAAAAAGTTTGGCAAGATAAAGAAGTTACAAATGCTCGTCAGGCATTTATAGAAGTTTTATCGACTGGCTTAAAATTTTCAAATGGTAAAGCTCGCCGTTTGATTATCACTCATATCGGAGGAGATAAAGGATTTGTTGATTAAGGCTTGTTAGAATTTGTTTCAGATTCTACGAAAGAGTACCATGAAGAAATGACTGCTGATGTGTTTGAGGAATATTTCAGTCAAATGGTAGATTTATTACCAACCAATTCTGTAAAAGTAATAGACATTGGGGTATATTCTGTAACAATTCCTTTATATTTAACGGCCTTAAAAAATATTTTCTTCTTTACTTCTGTCATTATTTAAACGGATCTTTAAATACATTAGAGGACTATCTTAAAGAAATCTGTTTAAATAATGACAGAAGTAAATTAACGAATACGAACATATTTTTTATAGGCCGCCAATATTTTTAAAGGCCGTTAAATATAAAGGAATTGTTACAGAATAGACCCCAATGCCAGTTACCATTTAAGATTAAAGGAAATGGAAAAGCAAGAACTCTCCGATTGGCTAATTACCAAAGAAATAGTGGCAGAAGAAGGATTACTCAAAAAAGAACTATTGCAGTTATGTAAACAACATTCACCAAAATTTAAGAAGTATAGTGTGGATAAAATAGCAAAAGAACATGGAGTTAAAGTGTTTTAGTTACTACCTTATCACTGTGAACTTAACCCCATTGACCTAATTTGGGCTCAAATAAAGGAATACAATACAAAATTTAAACTTTAAGATGTTCGTCAACTATAATGTGACTCCATATCAAAAATTTCACCAGACAACTGGCAAAACGCTATAAGACATGTCATAGAAAAGGAAGAAAAACTCTGGAAACTTGATTTGTTAATAGAGAAAACAATAGAACCAATTGTTTCTGTGGGAAGTGAGGAAATTGATGATGATGACTCCTTATCGAAAGAAAATGACTTGTATCCGAAATACAAACAAATATAAATGCAATCACCCCGTATTTCTAAAACCGAAATATAAGTGTTTTATGAGAAAAGATTTTTAGTGCAATAATTTTTTATAGTATATCATATAAACTTGGTTGTGTGTATATTTATAATTAAATTTTAAGGAAATGTCCTAACCTAATATCTAGTATACTATTTTTATAAAAACAAATGTGGGTACTTAATATTGACAGTTAACTATTTTTTATATTAAAGCAATTTCGTGTACCCCGTCACTGATGTATAGACTTATTAGTTAATCCTTTAGGGTTTGCACGAGATTTTTTGGGGTTGACATACTAAAATCTAGTGAAAATTTACATAAAATGGTAATAACACAGGTTTACAAAAAAAAAAGTCCGGACTATTTGATCAGACCATGGTATTCCTAGGTATTTTGGCGTCCTGAATCCAATCCCGGGGTCAGTTTTGCCCCATCACGTCAGAAAAACCAGATTTCGAGGTTATTTAGAAATCAAACTGGTGATTTTTTCGAACTGGCTCTCCGGGACAATTTCTCAAACGATCTGTTAAGTTGAGGAGTAACTGTGTAGGTCTTGAATACCTTTCAAATATTGGAAACGGTCCCCAAATCTCGACCAGGACCAGCGCAGGGCCAGCCATGTGGATAAATAGTTGTCATGATCGTTGTATCTCGCGAATTTTGATCTTCCTGCTTAGGTGTTCAATTTCGGCGATCCATTTGCTGTGAGATAATTCCAGTGGATCCAGCACTGACCCAAATGGCCCTAGAACATTAACAGAACATTGGAGTAGAATTTTGGCGATTGAGTTATCGTCAGTTATTGCCATTACTTCTCAAAGTGCTCCTATAACATCGTCCAAAAATTGGGTCAAGCTGAGTATACTGTCCGGGGCAAACTAAGGTTGCAGAAAATGGCCCGAGGATCCCAATCCGCAACTTCAGAGTTTGCCACCTTTGTTCTGCTGAGGCAGGCCATTGGAATTCAATCCCTCTAATAAGACGTCACATTCCACCACGTAAATTGGTGTGACTATCATACAATATTTGCGACTATGACTTAGATTCTGCTGATAAACTCAGTTCTGCTATTAGAAATACCCAGGAACAACGACAGGGACGTTGCAGATACTGTTCCCTTCATGGTGCTTGTTTATAGAGAGTTCCTTAGCCTCTCATTTTTTTCCCTCCCAATTTCTCAATCTTTGCGTGCTTGTTTATGGGGTCAGTAGGTTTGATTAAAACTCCTTCTAAGCGCCTTTCTCTTATATCCCTTGTTGGTATCCCTCTTCAAGTTCCAACAGTAATCTGTCAATATGTTAATGTCCCAAAAAACCTTGGTAGTGTCTTTTCATCTCTTTTATACCTTGGTGGAATCTTTCACTTTATTCTTAGCAAAAATGTAAGAGGTTTTCTGGGAAATTTCCCAAATGCGAATCCAAGAAGTGGACCTTCAAGTTCATCAAACATCCAATGGCTTTATAGTTCTGGAGCAAGCCCTCCACCAATTCCATATAGTTTGGGTCTTTAGTATTTCCAAGAAATTTCTGAGAAACATTCACGAAGCTCTTCCATGCTTCTTCCTCATCTACCGCCATCTTCTTCGGGAATTCTGTATCTTTTATAAGTTCTCATATTTGCGGCCCATTGAAAATCCCTTCTTTGAGTTTAGCATCTGACAACTTTGGAAATTTTTGGTAGATATATTGAAAGGCTTCGCTACTTCTTTTCTTAAGAGCTTTGATGAATGTTTAATATGGAGAGGAGGTAGTAAAATACTTTTGGGATCCACTAATTTCACTTGGTATATGTTCTTCTGACCCACAAAAAAATTGTCCCTTGATGGCCAAACCTTCCTTTGGTAATGCTCATCACGAGCTCGACTATCCCATTTACATAAAAAACAAGGGTATTTTGTAAATCTACTCTGTTGTCCCAAAAGTATTTTACCACCTTCAAATTCGTACATATTTGTACTTGCTGTAATTGATTTTTTGGAGCAAATAGTTCATATTGCAGTAGTTCTCACTCAAAATCGTCGAGTAGGCTATTACAATGGAAATTGAAATTGAACACCTTGGCAGGAAGATCGAAATTCGCGAGATACAACCATCATGGTAACATTTTATCCACTGGGCTATCCCTGCGCTGATCCTGGTCGAGATTCATCGCCCCTGTCCAATGTTTGGAAGGTATTCACGACCTAGACAGTTACCCCTCAACTTAATAGATTGCCTGAGAAATTGTTCCGGGGCCGGTTCCGAAAAAGCACCATTTTAACCTCTAAATGACCTTGAAATCTGGGTTTTCTGACGTGATGAAGCAAAACTGACCCCGGGATCGGATTCAGGACGCCAAAATACCTAGGAATACCATGGTCCGGTAAAATAGTCCGGACTTTTATTTTTTTTGTAAACCTTTGTAATTTTTACTTTTTTTCTGCTTTGAACAATCCTGTATATAGACCGTTGATATAAAAACTGTGCTATCATGCATTTTCAAATAAAACATTGCTTAATATTTGAGAAATCAAATCCGCCTACAGCGTTTATTGGAACATTTCCTCAAAATATATCCCGCTGTTATTAAACAGAGCATATAAATCACATCGATTAATTCATAAATATGCGTTGAACCCACGAGAAAACAAATTTACTTGAAATTGTTGAATACAGTTTAAGTCAATAATGCTTGCGATCATAAAATATCATTGGTAGAATCATTGAACGTAAACGTTATTTACGTTTCACAATACTTACTGCGCTGAAAGCCCAACAAGATCGACAATTTTCCTGATTCTTCACCCTCAAAACTGCCCCTTTGGAGCGCCAATCTATAGAATCGGGGGCTGTTAGATTTTCGACATGTACGCTCCCTTTAATAAATTGTTTTACCCTGATTTGAAGCTTAAGCTTCTCGCTAAACTCTTCTGAGGTCAAATCAGCGAACTGGTTGATTCCCATGTAGTAGGTTTCAAGACCTGCACGATATCTGGCGTTGTGCTCTTCGATGATCTTGAAGTTCTCTTCGAACACTTCCAAACGGACTTTATCCTCGACGATGTTACTGTAATCTTTGTTGAATTTTTGCTGAAAAATAACACATTTATTTTTTAATATAAGATTCTACTGGTGGATATTTACATTCTAATTTACAAACGCCTTAAACTGTAAGTTACAGATCAGTAAAATGAATATTTAATAAAGTTGGGCGATAGTTCACAAACTGTGATTAAGTTACTGATATTTAATCAGGGCCGGCACTAGACATTTTGGCGCTCCGGGCAAAACCTTAATTTTGCACCCCCCGTTTTTTTTTAAGTAAATCTCATGCGACCATATAAGAAAGTCAAGAAAACATTGAAAAAAAATAAAAAAAAAACGTTTTATTAAAAACTCAATCATCAGATAACAATTTAGCACTTAAGGCAAAATAACAAAAATTAAAACGTAGTAATGCTAACTAAAAAATATCCCATATTATAAATAAATTCTAACTAACCAAAGTAATTAAAATGCCCTTTTTCTAACTTTTCTTTCGGCAAACTCACGAACCAGTGATTTCAAGTCTAATTTGTCACTAATTTGGTGTTCTATAGCTATCATTGCCAATCCATTGAGACAATTTTGCGTCTGCATCGTTCGAATATATTTTTTTATTATTTTTAGTTTTGAAAAGCTTCTTTCCCCTGAGGCCAGAGTGACTAGCAATGTAAGTAGGATTCTTAATGCAATGCTGAGGTTTGGTGCGAATTTAAGAGTAGCGATAAACTTGAGAACTTCAACCATGCTTATTTCATCGGCTAGTTCCGGGGCGTTAAGATCGCTTGAATTTCCATCAGTTAAAACTACTTCCAAATCTTTGCAATGAGCCAGTAGCTCATTTCTGGGGATGTCTTTTAGACCAAAAATATTATACAAAAAGCTGAAATAATTACTGTGAGTATTTAGCAAATTATATCTGGTTTCCAAGGCATTTATTGCTTGATCTATAGTATGAAAAAAAAAATCTATTTTATATTTTTGTTTGAGGTCTTGAACGGGTTCATCCGGGCCAACATACAAAAACGTTCTTGTTTTGCTTCTAACATGATGACGTGGTCTGGTGGTTTCGAAATTAGCTTCCACGTCAATCTCTGAAGCAAGCTCGGTTACTTCTAAAATGATGCTTTCAAAAGCTTCATCTGATCTCAGGTTTTCAGAGAGGAGTTTGCAGTTGATAAGCATATCAATAGCTTGTGACATATTAAAATTTACAGTTTGCAAAAGTTTGCTGATGGGGTAAATATGACTCAAAATTTTGTACCAGATCACAAAAGAGCATATTAATTTAAACTGCTTCAAATTATTTAATAATCCGCTAGCCTCATCTCTGATCATATCGATTTCAAAGTCTTCATATATGCTGTACAAAGCATTGTGAATTGGACCAGTTTGAAACCGCAGAGCTTTTAATGAGTCGACTCGACTTTACCATCGCGTATCACTCAATGGTTTTAGGGTGAAAGTATCATTATATTTCAGTAATATTGCCCAACGAACAGAAGAGGAAGAAAAAAATAAATATTGAAGAAGTTGGCTGCCTCAAACGAGGATTTTGCCATATCGTTTACAACCAAATTTAGCGAATGGCTGCTGCATGGAACATAAAATGCTGCGGGGTTTATATTTCTGATTCTTGTTTGTACTCCTGATTTTTCTCCTCTCATATTGGAACCATTGTCATACCCTTGACCGCGCATGTTTTCTACTTTAAGCCTATTTTTCTTTAGCTCTTCTAGTTAAACCTCCAACAATTCGTTTGCTCTTGATCTCTCAATGAGTAGAAAACCCAAAAAATGTTCGTTGATATTAACTTGAACTTCAGACTCTGATTCCTGTATGGAGACAAATCTTACCACAAATGTCATCTGTACTACTTTACTTGCATCGGGAGTACAGTCAAGAATCACGAAATAATACTTGGCCTTTTGAACTTGCCCAATGATGTATAGTTTTCCCTAGATATGTAGCTTTGATTTCTGCTTCAAGACTCAATTACCTTTCATTTGATACCACACAAGCCATTTTTTGATATAATTTCTAATTTTTGAAATCCTTCCTCGTGCGCCACTGGCGTAAAAAAATAAAATGCATTTTATTTAACTCCAGACTCAATTACCTTTCACTTGATACCACACAAGCCATTTTTTGATATAAACTCTAATTTTTGAAATCCTTCCTCGTGCGCCACTGGCTTAAAAAAATAAAATACATTTTATTTAACTTCAGACTCAATTACTTTTCATTTGATACCACACAAGCCATTTTTTGATGTAAACTCTAATTTTTGAAATCCCCCCTTGTGCGCTACTGGCTTAAAAGAATAAAATAAATTTTATTCAACTGCAGGTTCATTCAACTTTCATTTGATACCACACAAGCCATTTTTTGATGTAAACTCTAATTTTTGAAATCCCCCTTGTGTGCCACTGGATTAAAAAAATAAAATAAATTTTATTCAACTGCAGGTTCAATCAAGTTTCATTTGATACCACACAAGCCATTTTTTGATGTAAACTCTAATTTTTAAAATCCCACCTTGTGCGCCACTGGCTTATAAAAATAAAATGCATTTTATTCAACTCCAGACTCAATAACCTTTCATTTGATACCACACAAGCCATGTTTTGATCTAAACTCTAATTTTAAAAATCTACCCCCACCCATTTTTGGGCTTATGTCTGATGGATTTTTTTAGTTTTTAAAAATGAAAACAAAAATTAAAACACTTACCTTCACAAAAGCCAAACGCACTGGACAATTTGCACAAGCACTTTTTAACGCGTTTTTGCACTAACAATTTAAACAAACTATTTTATTTCGCACCAGCCGAAGTCTAGTGGAAAATAATGCATTGTTTTAAGTCTACTTCCTTCTACTTGTTTCAAAATTGTTCGTTTCCTGTACAGTCGTGTTGCCACGGGCCGAAAAACTTGTCAATTCTTGAAAGGCGGTGGTTGAGTGGTTTTGTCATGTTGAATTGAATTCAACTAGATTTTGCCTTAATGTTTAAATACAGGGTAAATAAGTGCGACAAACTTCAGGGGGTGATTTAGCATGAAAAAATAATGACAGTTTGCTATATAAACGTATGTCTGAAAATGCTTCGTTTTCCGAATACGGGGTGTTAAAGTTTTTCTTAAAAACTGACGATTTGTTTATTGCTCTGAAACCGGTCAAGATATGCAAATGAAATTTGGTGAATTTTAAGAGGTAGTTATTCCACATTTTTTGACATGCAATTAAGAATTTTATGTTCATCATTGGCGTACATACGGGTAATGATCTCAATTCATTTAAAGAAAAAATGGTACGCCACTGAGATATTTAAAATTAAAAATCATTTTTGAATTCCTCATTAAATTTGTCACAAAAAATATCTCTGGCCTTTTTTTCGTGTGGGGCGCCGTTTTTATGCAAAAAAATAAAATACCTTAACGCGTATTTTCCATTTCTTTAATACATTATCAAGAACCATCTAATACAATAACATTAAACTAGAACAATAACAGAAAATAACACTAATAAAATTTTAAATAGGCGCAAAGCTACAACAAATGCTGAAATGACCTCCCTCAGACGTGAGACAAGATTCAACTCGCCGCATTGATTGTCGTATTCGCGCAAATTGTCCTGGTGTATTTCTTATTGTCTCACAGCAGGCTATAATTCGGTTCCTCAGGTCTCCGACATTTTCGACGGGAGTGGAATAAACTAGTGACTTAAGAAAACCCCAAATGCAAAAATCCAGAGGATTTAAATCCGGCGATCGAGCAGGCCAATGTTCCGTACCTCCTCTACCTATCCAACGATTTGCATATACTGCATCTAAGTGATTTCGTACATCAATGCTAAAATGGGCTGGTGCACTATCAAGCATGAACCATAAGTGTTGTCTCAGCTGTAGATGAATTTCTTCAAGAAGAACAGGTAACTCTTCCTGTAGAAAATTAAGGTAAGAGTTGCCTGTTAGTCGTTGTGGGAGGAAATATGGACCGACTAAATGATCATTAATTACCCCAATCCATACATTTACCGAAAACTGATGCTGAAAATGAGCTTCAAAGATTCCATGTGGATTTTCCTCAGCCCATAAGTGATTGTTATGGAAATTTCGTATAGACTCTCGACCAAAATAAGCTTCGTCAGTAAACAAAACTCTATTTAAAAAATTAGGAATTTGAGCGATTTGATGAAGAATCCATTGGCAAAAAAATAGGCGCGGAAGAAAGTCTCTAGGTAGTAGAGCTTGCACACGTTGAATATGAAACGGATACAACTGCTGTTCTTTAAGAATTCTAAATAGAGTGAAGTTGTTTATATTTAATATGTTGGCAATTTTTCGAGTACTTGTTTCCGGTGACTCCGCAATTAACTCGAGAACTGCTTCTTCTAGTTGCACAGTTCGTACTTCTCGAGGGCGCCCGCAGTCAGCCGTTTGTTTCTTAAATGTACCATTTTCGCGCAAACGTTGGTGAAGGCGAGCAAATATTGTGTGATGGGGTACCCTACGTCCTGGATACAACTCAGCATACAATCGTCGAGCTTGCCGACCATTTCCATTACTTCGACCATAGACAAAATGCATGTCTGACAATTCCACGTTTGTATAATTTTCCATTGTTTTCGATAAAAGAAAAGTTAATTACTTATTAACATCAATGTTATACCAAACTAAAAGCTTAATAATGAAGAAACGCTAATTTGACATTTCGTTAAACTATTCGTATTTAACAGAATGTTGACAATAGTCTACTAGTACTAGCGTCGCTATTAGATAATAATGTATTAAAGAAATGGAAAATACGCGTTAAGAAATTTTATTTTTTTGCATAAAAACGGCGCCCCACACGAAACAAAGGCCAAAAATATTTTTTGTGATAAATTTAATGAGGAATTCAAAAATGATTTTTAATTTGAAATATCTCAGTGGCGTACTATTTTTTCTTTAAATGAATTGAGATCATTACCCGTATGCACGCAATGATGATCATAAAATTCTTAATTGCATGTCAAAAAATGTGGAATAACTACCTCTTAAAATACAC